TATTTAAAGTATTATTTAAAATATTATTTAGAAAATGTTTGAGAATTTATTGAAAATAAGATGCAGAGTTTATTTAAGAATTTATTTAAGAGAAAAGTCCAGAATAAAATTTAGAATAAAGTTAAAAGCAAGTCAGGAATAATTACTAAATAATTAATTAACAAAGCTAGGAATTATTTCAGATTGTCAGTTAATTACGTAGGCAGAGCTTGGATTGACTTTACCAGGAATAATTTCGGTTGGTCAATTTATGACTTTGGTGCCATGTAAAACAATTTGTCTTTGATAATCGAGTTTGGTTGGATTTATTCAATTAATTGCTTAAAGTAAAATCAGTAAAATGTTTTAGAGGAATTTTAGTAAAAATCATTTGAAGTAAAATTTATTAAATTCAGTAAAATAATTCATAATAAAATTTAATTGTTTAAAATAAGATCATTTGCAATAAATTTAGAATCAGTCAAAATTGCTAGAAAATTGTTAAGGTAAATTTATTAATTAAAAGTAGAAAACGAAACTTGTAAAAATTCGTTTGGGAAAAAAAATACCGAAGTCGAGCGACAAAGACGCCAGACCGAGCGAGAGCGTCAGCCATCTTGTCCCTCGCGAAGCGTATACAAGATACGAAGACCTCTCGATATTAAATATTTAATTGTTGTATTATTAAGACCACGACATTAAATTAATTAGGAATTTTGAACCGATAATGATTTTAACTGGGAATTTAGATTAAGAACTTTATAAATAAATTAGGAACTCGGGTTTTGTAAATTAATTAATGGAATAAGTGGATCCAGGCGTCAAGTCGGATTTCATTTGATTTTGGGAAATTAATTTTGTTAATTTGGAAAAATAAATTTGTAAGATCCGGAGTAATCGTATTGTTGCAAATTTACTCCCCATGTACAACAAACTATTTTCAGTCTCTTTCTTAATATTTCTTATATTATTTCTTTATTATTACTGTTTATATTCAATTTCCCCTTATAACTTTTGTAATATCAATATGTACAAAGCCGTTTGGCATTAAGCTATAATAAATAAATAAATAAATAAATAAATAAATAAATACTTAGTGGGTTTGAAAATAATAGAGTGGGTGGGTTTAGTGCTAAGTATTGTAGTGTTGCCTAGGGATTCATGGTATCCTCCTCTGCTTCCTGGGCACACTTAGAGTCCTTTGCATAGACGCCCGGGTCGGGGGTGCAAGAGGCATAAGTATTTTAAATAAATATTGTGGATGTGTGTGGAAAATATTATTGCAGTGTGTCGAGTCGAGTCGTACCTATACGATAGACCATGAACGTGTGTGTGTGCAGAGTAGAATCATGCATGTATTGTACTATACAATTACATCTATATCTGTTGAGAGAGAGCGTGGGCGTACGAAATCAGATGACTATATCTATATATTAGATCTAGCTTCAACGAGAATTTTCTCGAACAATTTTGGGAGATATCGTAGGCGACAAGTTGCGGCGGATGCGCAGAACGGTATAGCGCCGATCGGGGCCATATAGGAAAAACCAAATTTACTCGTGCGGTGGCCAGTACCACCAGTTGCTCTGAGGCCCTTGAATCAGAAGTAATTTTCACGCAATCGTTCTCGCATATTACGCATCATACAGTACAATTGAGACATTCTCAAAAATCACGTCGTTTAACATCATTTTATTTACTATCATTCGAATCATATTCACGAATTCAATTATTTTCGGTGAAACGCAATTTTATAGAAATAATACGGTAATTCGGACTAACGCCATACATCCGAACTCTCTCTCACTCTTTTGGGTATTGACGGCCTGTGGTTTTGATCGTGCCTCCTTGGCTTTGATCGTTTCTCTCTCATACACATACAATTTAACAGCACTCTCCAGAAGAGTCATCAGTATTCGCCTACATTTGGCAATACGCATTAAACTATTCTCACCAAGAGATATTTTATTATTCAATAGCTCAGGTCCTTCCTGACGAAATAACAATAGCTCAGGTCCTTCCTGACGAAATAACAATAGCTCAGGCTAGATCCTGACGAAATAACAATAGCTCAGGTCATATCCTGACGAAATAACAATAGCTCAGGCCAGATCCTGACTAAACAACAATTACACATTCACACACATTTATTTCTTGTAATTATCATCGAGGAGGTTTTTTATCTGATCATCAGATTTTTCCTCCTCTGGGACAATAAATTTCTTCCTGTTGTCCCAAACATCGAGTGTAATTCATTTAAAGTTCCTATCCATTTACACTAATAATCAAAATCAATTTTTGAAAAACTGAAGCACGAAATCTCGGCACTTTGACGAGGTTTCGAAAAAACACAGTGTAGCCTAGGGATTCATGGTATCCTCCTCTGCTTCCTGGGCGCACTTAGAAGCCGTTGTATAGACGCCGGATTTGGGGTACAACGGTAGTAAGTTAGAAACCGCAGTATGGACGCTCCATATGAGGGTACTGTTCGGGAATAGAAACTATGATAGAAACCGTGATAGGACGCTCCATAAGAGGATATCGTCGGGATTAAGTTGATTTGATATTTTGTAAGGGGTTTTTATTGTGTATTAAGAGTTGGTTAAATAAAATGAGTTGTAAAAATGAATTTCTTGTTATAATTTCTGTTTCCTTCCTGACAATCTCTTACGACCCTGAGTCTTCACTCCATGTTCTGGGCCAGTTTCTAGATACTGTGGGAAAATCCAGTAGAAAAACCATAATCGTAGTAGAAATCCTTTCAATTCCTAATAAAGAAGTTGTATCTGGATGTCATTGCTTCTCTGTTCAATTCCCGCATGAAAAAACTATATATGGCTGAACATATATGGAAAGTTATATGGGGAATATGTGATTATATATAGCAGCAAAATTATATATATCAAATAATAAATATTTTGTTAATATAATGAAGATATATTTGATTCAATATAAATTCAAATATATTAGTGCCGTATATTACTTAGTGTATGTTATAAAATATACTATTATTATATAAAAATTACTTATATAGAAAACTATAAAATAGATAAATATATTTTTGGTAAAATATATGTTGAGATAGATTATTACTGTATACTTTCATTTATAAAATTTTAATTATATGGCAATATATATTATTTTATTGTAAAATATCATACATAATACCAGATATTTATGATATGTCAAAATAGCTCAAAACGGAAAGATTAATAAAAAAAAAATTAGTAGGTTGTCGCATATCTTATGTTTCAAGAGCAACTTGATCAATCGAGTTTACGGTCGAAGCAAATCTGAATTTCAGTAAATTCGTAACACATCAAGAAATATTTTCTTTTTTTTTATAACTTTTTTTTAGAGAATTATTTGGCCTCAGCATTCTATTGTAATTTTGGTACTAATGCCAATATTAAAATTATATTGAAAATATAATTTAAAGTATATTTTAAATTATACTGAAAAATACATTGTTTTTATACTATTTATAATATAGTGTTGATTATAATATGTACGATATATTTGATCATATATAGCTGAAAATATAATTGAAATATATGTTATGAGTATAACATCAATACATAATACTACATATAATATTATTGTATATATAAAACGGCAAAATTTTACTTACTTATAACTTTTTTTCAGATGATTATTTGGCCTCAGCATTCTATTGTAATTTTGGTACTAATGCCAATATTAAAATTATATTGAAAATATAATTTAAAGTATATTTTAAATTATACTGAAAAATACATTGTTTTTATACTATTTATAATATAGTGTTGATTATAATATGTACGATATATTTGATCATATATAGCTGAAAATATAATTGAAATATATGTTATGAGTATAACATCAATACATAATACTACATATAATATTATTGTATATATAAAACGGCAAAATTTTACATATGGGTCCTTATATAATCACATATATTTTTATATATGTAAAATATAATTTTTTGTACATGATGAAGTATATATGCTTTTTCATGCGGGTGTATTCGTTCATTTCGAGTAATTACGAAATAATCAAAGAGAAAATAGCTTTTTTTTTTATTCTTATAGGGTAAACCTGCCAGTGAATGACCGATCTGTTGCCGGTACTGATAATTTAGCTTATTGTAGTCATAATTAACTTCAAAACTGAACTTGACCGTTTTAATTGTATTCATAAATTATTTTTATTTCGATTTTTATAGTAATATTGTCTTCTTTATCTTCGTACATTTTACAAATTTAATAAAATGAGTCTGATAATACAAAACCCAGTGAATGACCGTACTTTTCCATTGAATGACCAGGCTCAATCCAGTGAATGACCAATGTGCAAATTTATAAATTACAACTTTGAAATTATTTTTCCTAGGGATTTGTTTACATAAATGAGAAACTAATGATTGTTTTTAACACAATAAAATTTGTATTTATTTAGTACACGGAAAGAAAAATATGAGAACTATTCCCATAATTTTATGGGAACAGTTCCCAGGAAATTATAGGAACTGTTCCCATGAATTATGGGAACTGTTCCTAGAATTATAGAAAATTTTCCCAGAATTATGGGAACATTTCCCATAATGATGGGAATGGTTCCTATAATTAGGAATGATTCCTATACAATTATAGAAACCATTCCCATAATATTATGGGAAATATTCCCACAATGATATAGTAATGGTTCCTATATCATTATAAGAACTATTCCCATAATGGTATGGGAAGCATTCCTAGAATATTATAGGAATCATTCCTATACCATTATGGGAATCATTCTCAAAATAAATATCTATCATCATAAATTGACTATCGACGAGAATGATATGAAACCTTGGAAAGAAACAAATTCAAGTCAAGTCCTTTGCAATGACACTAAATTTCACTAAAAAAATCGATTTCATCATGTGACTATCCAGGAGACAAAATTGTTCTTATTCTCTTAATAATGTAAATTATTATTATTTAATTATTATTGATATTGTTTTAACTATTATTGACGACCACATGAAAATCATGTTGCTGTCACATGAAAGTCAAATTAAGGTATCCATAAACTTAACATATAATTGACATTTAAAAAGTTTACATATATATGAATAATTTTTTACTCTATCACATTTATTTTGTTATTACATATTATGCAAGTGTTTAAGACAATACAGCAAAATAAACGTACGGTCATTCACTGGTAGTAGCAAATATCGAACTTACCAATAAATGACTAGTCAGTTATTTACTAGCAAAGCACACTTATCAAATAAGTCAGTGAATGACCGACGCCAAATTAATATAAATAAATTATTAAGTTAAATTATATCCATTATAGGTCAATTTTAATATTAGTTTATCTACACAAATGTCTATAAATTTTGTATTTTGGACAAAAAGTAATTATTTATAACTAAAATTCACAGTTTTCTTAGTAGCCGTTTTCACAGAATTTTGTCAAAATTTTATAGTTTTCTAGAAGTTCTCGGATTCTCGATATAATTTTTATGAATGTTGAAAATACACTTTTAAATTATTTTAATTTGTGGAGATTAAATATTGAAAAATATATGTAAGATTACAATTATGATTGAGCATTGACAGTTAACTAAATTTTTGGATTTTTATAATCATTATTTTCATTACCGGTCATTCATTGGCGGGCGGTCACGGACTGGACGGTTTACCCTAGGCTAAAACTATTTCTAGACAAACTCTAATTTCAACCAACTATAATCAGATGATCACCCGATTTTTATCTTCTATTTATTTGGTGTTTGCAGATTAAATTAAGCGAATAAATTACAAAAACGCTCGTCTATGAATTAAACTAATCATATCATTAAAAAGTTAGTTTTATTTACTCTAAATTATGAATATTGTTCATAATTATTAGAAATAAAACTAATTGTAAAAATTTGGCTTGGACATCAATGAACCTGAGTTCAAGAATGTTTCTAGTCGCAATACCACCGAAAAGTCTTATTATCCCCGCGAGGTCGTCACTATGTCTGTATGCGTGTGTGTGTGTGTGTGTGTGTTTGTTTTTTTTTTTCCTT